AGAATGGGAGAAGAGTTTATAACTTCACAGCGATGTTAAATGAGGTTTGCATGCGAGACAGAGGGCTGTGTAGGCAAATACTCATTTTGCCACAAGCCCAGGGCACAGAAGAGGAATAAAATGGTCTTATGGCTCCTTCCTCCTCTGGAACTGCGGGGGCAGAGAGCCCCAGGTGCTTGTGTAGCCTGACCAACCACTTCCTACGCACCGGCTGACTCCCGAGCCTCGCCCTGGCCTACCTGCACAGACTGCTCTGCCCCTCAGGCAAGCACACAGTTGCCTTGGTATCCGGTCGGCCTTCTCACGACGCCGTTTTAAATCTGTAAAAATTTAATCTACTCAATCTGTTTACTGGCTTTCAGTAAATCTGAGCATTTGCATTTGGACTGTAACATCGAAAGGAATTCTATGCTCTTAAGAGATTTTCACTACCTCTACAATCTAAGAGACTGAGGGAAGATGGCAAGTGAAAAGCAAAAGGAATGCTTCTTCTTTTACCTGTACAATAGATGCACCAATGCCGCCGTTGAGCCCAACCCAGTGGACTGTAGGAATAATTCCATAGCCAGACACTGAGCAAAAGATGACGGAGCGCAGTCTGTGACACTGTTGTGTGAGGTAACTGGGATGAATCTGAGCAAAAAATACTGCCAGGATCATTGCCAGCATAATGATTAAGTATACCTGACGCCAGTACTGAGGAGAAAAGAAACAAAAGCATGTTTGTATATTTTCTCATCTTGTGTTAAGGCAAACTCTGGGTAGAAAGATCATGTTACTAAACGCAATGATTCATCACTGTCCTGTCACTTCTGAGACCACAAATTACAGCACTGAAGGAATATATTCTTATTAATAAAGTCAAGGGAAGGGGAAGGGAGGGGAGGGAACTCTATTATTGCTCAGGTACAGGTGGTAGAACGTTGATTTCAAGCTCTGCCCTCACTAAAACATATTTTAAACATAACCCTGCCTAAGAGAGCTGGTTCAACTACCTGCTCAGTGCTTTCAGTGCACTGCTTGTACAGGGAGCTGGGAGTTACAAAGGTGGATGTGGTTTAAGACTCCAAAGCAAAATGAGCTTGTTTCTGCCCCATGTGAGATACTCAGCTGGAAACACTTGAATTAGTTTTGATGGGGATACATCCCATAAACAGGCTCATGCACTTGACAAAGGCATGACTGTCAAGTTTATGCTGACTTCCTATAACTTTCAATGCTGTCTTGAAACATGTGCAGTTGACGGCTTGAAAGGAATATCCACGTTTACCTGTCACTTCTGCAAACAAAGTTCTGCTCGTGTCAAAACCTGTTTCAGTTCCCATCACTGTCTCCTGACTAACGTGCCACTTGGACACGATGCGATGAACTCCCTTCCCAAGGCATACAGGCCATGGCAGTGAGACTGCAGGCATTAAATGTCATATGAAAACATGAGACTTACATTATTACAGTAAAAGGCATAAAACACGCCTGATACGTAGCAGCCCAGGATAGCAATGGAAATTCCCGCATAATCTAAGGCCATCCATCGCCGGCTGGTCTTCTCCGAACGATGGCAACAGAAGAGATGATATCCCACTGAACAAAGCATACAGACCTATACACATGTTGAAACAGGGACACGTTAATTTCTTGGTAACTTACAGGAATTACAGCAAGCTTCAACTCTGAAGCACAGAGCAGAAAACAACTTGTTACGTGTCTTGCAGTGCTACTTGGTGTAGGCAATCCTGATATCTGCCAGTAATCAGTGGAAAATAACCCAACCTTCTCTAGTGGCCTGAAGAAGAAGTAGGAAACTCTGCAAGACTCGATAACCATGGGCTGCACAGCAATAAGGGTACAGGCCTGGAGCACAAGGCCAAAAAGGTCACAGTACACACGGGAGTGGGGGCGTACACACTTTTTTTAGGGGTTGTGTCTTCTAACAGAGCTTCAGCAGTCAAACCATGACACAAAGTGCTATCACTGGTGCTGAGCACAGATTTAACCCTTAAAAACCTTGGGTAAAAGCCCCATGCAGCAGCACCACCATGAAGGTGTCTCCCGGCGCCACGCTACCTGGAAACAGAAGAGGCAGACGAAGCAGATGACGAAGTCCTCTCGGGAGGCACCCGCCGCCGGCAGGACGGCCACCAGGTCGTAGACACCCAGCGCCAGGAAGAGCAGGAAGCCGAGCAGGTGGCTCCAGATGTTGACGGTCTCGTTGGAGAGGATGAAGAGGCTGCGGGGAGGAAGAAGAAGAAGAAGATGAAGGGGAGCAGGGCTGGGGCTGGCAGGGCAGCCCGGGGGGCGACCCAAGGGGTGTCGGAGGTGCCCTGCCCCGCTCACCTCTTGATGCAGAGGCGGGAGGGCAGGTAGGCGCGGTACCCGTCGGTGATGTAGGGGTTGTCCCGGAGGAAGCCGGGGATCTGCTCGTACGTGTACAGGCGGATGGCGCGGGGCACCATCACGGGCCAGTACTGGTAGCCGCCCAGCTCGATGTAGTGCGAGCTCCGCAGCAGCTTCGGCTGCATCTCGCCCGCCCAGCCGCTGCTGCTGCTGTTGCTGCTCCTGCCGCCGCCGCATCGGCCCCGCGCCCCCCGGCTCTGTCGCGACGATCGCGACCGCCGCGCTCAGCCCCCAGCGCCCCTCCGCCGGGGCCCGGCTGGCGGCGGCCCGCACCCGCCCGCCTCACGCGGCGCCAGGCGATGACGTTGGGCCCGTGAGGGAGGGTTCGTGAGGGGGAGGGCGGGGGCGGGGCGGCGCTGCTGTCGTGACGGGGTCGTAAAGGGAAGGGATAACATATCAGAAGTATAAAGTATTAGGACTGAAGAAGAGTCTCCCAGAGGATTTGCTTTACCGGTTTTTATTTTAAAAAAAAAACAGCTGCTGTGGGTAAGGGAGAGAGTGTGTCCGTAGGTTTGTGCCTGGTGCACCACGCCAATAAGCACACGGAGTCAGGGGTTTTATCTCTTTATTTTACCCAAAAATGCCGTTAGTAGGTGTTAACTGGACCCCTTTCCCCATATCTGTCTCTGAAGTTAAAAACAAGTGTCCTGAGTGGTGCTCCTTGCTCATTGAGTTGTTCCTCCCCTCTGGTATTGCACCAAGACCTGTATTTTTCAAAGGTCTTTTCTCTCGTTTAAACCAAAGGTGGGCATACTTCACTGAGGTGCTGTGACAAGAATGGAGCATTTTCCCATGGCAGATTTGTGTGGTGAAGTAAAAGACACAGGATGAGGGGCATTTGAAATGAGAGAATGGCCATAAGGACCAGGTGTTTGGGACCCAGAAATAGCCCGGTAACCTGCTCTGATGCATCACCCAGAAACCTCGGTGTTACACCACTTGGTTGTACCGTTAAGTTCATTCTGGTCACCAACAGCTCTTGAATATTTCAAATAATTGTTCACTGTGATTTCTGCACATGAATGCTCTGAAATTCTGTTCCGTCTACCTCTGCAGAGCTGCTGACAGTTCCTTGTGCCTTCTCCCTCCTCTTTAGCTGGTCTGAATGCTGGGTACGCTTTTCTCCCATATGTACTTCACAGAGGTACCCAGAGGAAGCGTGTTCATATCAGTAACTCAGCAGACTTAGCTTTAATTTTCTCATGTTCACCTTTCTGGGACATCTCAGAAGCACACCTTTAAATAGCTCATTCCTCTTTGTTTCTGTCTTCTTTTTTTCCATATGGCTTCTCTCCTTCACATTTTTCCCTAGCTGGATATTAAACTAATAATATTACATTATTTAAGAATGCACAGAGAAAGCACATTCGGAAAGATGCCTAGGCATAGTTGTGACTGGAGGAGAGAGATGGGGATAACGCACATGGCTATGTTTAGGATGGGGCACAGGATATCCCTTCTGTAGGCAGCAGAGTCATACTAAGTGCACAGGGAAGTCCAGTGTAAGAAAACACCTGGCAGTGAGAATTGCTAAGTTGGCTGATGCTCAGGAGATGACTCGGTGACTCTCACATGTAATGGGTTCATGGGAGGGCTGAGAATTCAAATGCCAGAGTATCCAGGAAACAAAGTCTTAGGAAGTTATGAAGGAGTTATGTTGCAGCTTGCTTGAAAGGGAAATAGTTCCTACAGTGCTAGATGTTTCTGTTCTGAGATGGAAGAACAGTTCACTTTCCAGTTGACCTCAATCAACTGCACTAAAAATAGGAAAGCATCCTGTTTGGGTCAATGTTTTGCACGTGAAAGCTGAAATCTCTTAACCAAAATACTGGGATCCTGCTAATGAGAATGATCTCTATGTGGTGGTAATCTTTTTACTAACAAGTATCACCCTCCTTCTTCTCTTTGCAGTGCCTGGAGAATGAGGGAAATAAGTATTTGTGCACACATATGCACATGAAGGAATAAGAACAGAGCTTCCACGTTACTTCAGGTGAGAGAAGCCCAACTGTCCCGGGAAGTCTTTCATTGCCACTGTGAAACCAAGCAGGGAAAGCAGCGGTGTCCTCCCCAGCTCCTGCTGATAAGCAGGGAGATTCATTGTTCGCTCAAGTGGACACACTCTTTTGTCAAGCCGAATGTTGCTTAGAAAGTTGTTACCAGGTTAAAACCGTAATTAGTTGTAATTGTCCATTGAATCATTAGCTCACTGAGAACATTATACCTGGAAAAAAAAAAAAAGACGTTGTTTCTAAGCCCTGTGCAATTTAAATTAAATCCCCGAGCGCTTCAAAGAGTTCAGTCAGAAGGAATCAGAGCTGACAGCACTTTTTTTTTTTTTTTTAAGTAGCTTTAATTGGTTGTTAAGTTAAAGCTTTGAAGCTTTGACAGAAAAAGTGTTATAGGTTAAGTTAATAGGGAAAATTGAGAAACAATTAGGGCAGCTTTAAATTAATTACTTACACTATTTATTTTGAGCTTATTGAACAATTGTGTTGTATGCGTAAGTGATTGAAATTAGCCATCTGGGCAAGATAGCTTTGACCTAAATTGACCTTCTTCGGTAACTACCTAGCTTGCCCTAATTCCTATACTGTATCCCTAATTTTACTGGCAGATAAGCTTAATTAGGGAGTAACAATAAATGTGTGGGAGAGGTTCCATAATGTTCTGTTGAAACCCAGATGACCTATGTAGGCAGAGAGAAAAGGCTTTTAAAGAGATAGCTGAGGAAGCGACAAATGACCTAAACTGTTTCTTCTTAACCCAGACAGCTCCCTGCTGAGTTTGATTCTTCTGTATTTGTCAGTATAAACAGATAATGTCGTGTTTAGGTGCCTGAAATATAACCCTTTAACCTGTCTTCAGCCCCTAGTTTAAGGAAAATAGAGGTAAAGAACAGCAAGTTTATATGAATTAATTAACTAGTATTAGCTCTATAATGCTGACAGCATTTTTTTAATGTCCTGCTCCATTTTGAACTTTTTTTTTTTTTTTTTTTTTTGAGGCAAAAACGGGACAAATGAGTTAGAAAAAGTATGTAGGTAAAAGATCTTTTCAAGTGCTTGTGACAAAAATGGAACGTTAAAAAAATCAAATTTGAATGTGAAGGGATGAAGAAGACTGAAATATTCTTGGTGCTGGTTTTTGAGGCATTGGTTTCTTTATTTTTTATTTATTTATTATTGCTTGTTTCTAGCAAGAAGATCCCTGGGACCAAGATTTCAGAAGACTGCTTTCCAAACTGTGGCGGCTGCAAAATAGGAGGCTCAGAAAAGCAGGTGAGTGATAAAAGCATCTGAGACAGTTATATGGTGCAGGTGACTCGAGACCGCTCCGGGCCACCCATCTCCCATGCTAGAAACCTCTCAGTGAGCTAATTCTTGGCTCTTCCTGAGGGTGTCGCTCTGGCACTGTGCTATCAGCCTGAGCATCTTCCATCCGTCCTGGTGGGAAGGAGCTCGTTATACTCGCCAGCTCAATTAGGTGCCTCTTCATTGACTTCGTAATTAACAAAGAATTGGTACCGTGACTTGAGTTCTCATCTTGGCCACGCTGTTTGCTGCAGACCTGTATCAGTGTAAGAGCAGTGCTAGAATCGAATAAAATAAAATAAAAGGTGCGACTTGTCGTTTGATCTCATTCCTAAACAAGACACCTCCCGATTTATGGTTCATGGGGACCTGGCCCTTCGTTAGTTCATTGTGAACAAGGAAACAGGAGGTGCTCTGGGACTCGTTTTCCCACTGATGGAATCTGCTGCTGTGGGAGTGCGCAGCTTGCTCTGCGTTCTCCAGAAAAGACGGATCAGTGCCTGGAAATGAAATCTGTCATTAGTCTGACCTTAGCTGAGAGAATGCATTTGGGAATACTGGCTGAAGGTATCGCGTGTCTTCCTTTGCATAATGCTACCAGCAGAGAGACCTTGTCGTTGCTGTGTCAGTGTATAGCCACGTTCTTATTCCTCTGTCCCTGGGGCTGGAAGGAAGTAGATCTAGTTCAGAGTACTGTGTGCAGGAGTGTATTTCAATGCAGAGCCTGTGAATAAAATACAGGCACTGGTTTATGACCATAAAGGCCATATATTTACTCATGTGCATAAAGCACTTTCTGTTCTGTATGTCTGTGCAAAGAAAACTTGCAAATGGCCTTGTATAGAATATGTTTACTGACTGCTACATCAGGAGATAAAGTTATTTAAAGCCCCTTGTTATCTAAAACAGATGTATCCTCTCTTGCAAGTAGCCAGAGCATCTGTGAAATTAAGTACTTGATGTTGATATGTGGGGAAGTTGGAAATAAGAAAATAAGGTTTATAGGTTTGTGGAAGTCAGAGAGGCGTTTAAAGCGAGAGTGGGGAAAAATAGAAATACTGCACTGCCCCTAATCCACACGCTCCCTTCGATAAGAGAGCATGAAGAATGTGAGTACCTTGTGTATAGTAATTAGAGTGACCTTCTTACTAAGAAAGCTTGGTTTTAAGGCCTTCTTCCCTGGAGATGCATCTTCCGTGTGCTGTATCTGCTAGGATTTTTGTGGTGAAGTTCTCTGTGGTGTCTTGTACCGCACTCCTCAGCATAGAACCTAAGCAGCTTCCAGAAGTGCCTGAAACAGAACGCCTGACATCTGTCGTGGGGGGTTCGGGCTCTCTTTTCCTCTCCCCGTGGAGAGATGCATGTGCAATGTGTGCAGTGAAGTGACTTGTTTTGGTAGGGCTCTTCCTTTTTTTTTTTTTTTTTTTGGCATTTCTGTTTTCTGATTCAATCCCTTTGGCTTTCAGTTCCAGCTTCTGAATCTCAGCATCTGTCAGTGGTGCGATAAATTCTCTTTGGTGATAAGAGAACAGCTGCCAATAGCAAGAGCAAGAATGGCATTTGGGCTTTTTCCTGCCATGTGAGAGCTTACAGTCAGCAAAAATGCACTGTGCACACAATGGAAGAAGGCACCTCTTCTGCCCAGCTTGCTATTTTTTCTCCAGTTTAGCAGCATCTTTTCCATCCCTGTTAAGCAGACAAACATGAACGATTGGGCAGCATAATAGAGTCCTGAACCTGAAGGACTGGAATTAATTGTGTGTAGGTTCTGAAGGTGAGAGCGGTGAGAGCACAACAAAGGATTTTTTTATATATATTTTGAGGAATGAGGGGACTTTTAGGGAAAGGGAGAAACTGTTTGGAAAGCTGCTTAATAATGTGAGCTGGATGTTTCCTAGTGCAATGACCTGCTCCTGGTAAAACTGGTGGCGAAAACAAACTTTGTGTGGAGTTCTGAATTTTAGGTGCATGTTGTTTTTTCAGGTTTAAAGGTCTCACTAACTCCAGCTTGCCTATAAAATTTTATCACAGCTGGAATTCATGCTGTGACAGAAGGCATTTCTGGATGAACTATTTTGACTACAGAGGTTTTGATTCTCTAGTTGTCATGGATTTAGGTGACTTATTTACAGTGAGGGTGACACTCCAGGACTTGTGGGCTAGTGGACTTTGGTTGATGCGGTCATTTCACTCTTGGACAACAGGGTAGGTTTCTGACTTTCCTAGGAGCCAGGCCATTCCCATGAAAACCTTAGTCTCCCCTGAGGTGGAGGAATTTATCTCATTATTATTATTCTCAATTGAATTTGTTATTTATATCAATATAAATATTATCAATATAAATATTTATAAATTATAAATATTATTAAATATTATAAATATAAATATTATCAATATAAATATTATTATCAATGGAATTTATATCAAACCCTTGATATAAATCGCTGTAGCGGGGAATCATGTTTCTAAGACCCTGTGACACATCAAAAGAGCCTTTTTGTACAGTAGTCCTGCAGCTCTGGTTTATATAATTGCTCTCTCTGAAGTGGCCTTCTCTACAGAGGGAAAAAAGAGCGGCTTAGTTTCCAATGATGTTTAAGCATGTTTTGAGCTGTGCAGGCTGTCAGAATGCTTTCTTGGTGTCAGTGGGGATTAGGTGCTTGTTCCAAAACTTCTGTTGTAAATCCACACTGTTGCTTGCGGACTTCTGGAGGTATTTGAATGTTGCTGTATATATGACAGGAGACACACATTCTCATTTGGTTCTGATGAGGATTTGCATGCCTATAGCTATTTGAGCTGTAGGAAAACACCTTCCAAACTTTTCTTGTGCTCTTAGTTTGATCTGTATAGTGCCACTTTAATGTCAAACAAGGCCAGGGTACTTGGCCTTTGGGATCATCTTACTCTACTTCCTTTAGACTCAGCACATTTACTTCCCACCTTAGAAGGCAAATGGCTTTAGTGTGTCTTCAAGGGCTTCTTAATTTGTTCCTTTTCTGTTGTATGGAGTATACTGGTATGTGACCCTTTTTAGGAGATCCTAATGAAGAATTGGCAGTAGTATCCAAAAAGAGAGCAATGACACTTTTTTCCCATTGTTTTTCTTTCTTTTTTTTTTTTTTTTTTTTTGCTAGATTTACCATGTCAGTGCATTAACACGTGCACACACCCATTCTGTTGTTCTTCATGACTGTGTAATATCTGTGTAATGAGTCAAGTTTTTTTTTTTTTTTAATGATTCATGAATCCAAGGAGTACGCAGGTGCCGGGTGGTAGTAATCAGTAATTAAGATAAGCACCTCAAGGTTTTGTTTGGTCATTTTTTAATCCTCCTATTCTAGAGTTCTTTGCACTCATTCTGTTCTTTGCACTTAGTACTGAGTTGGCACTGATGTCTCTGATTTATACTTCATGTCTGGGTGATATAAAATAAAATAGCCTGGGCCTAAATTCCAAAATGCAGCTTCTCAAGCTCAGATTGGGAGGAAATTTTGAATCTGAAACAAACTGTCTACCTAGGCATATAGACTGGAAGCCATCTTCAAACAGTTCCTGTAATTAGTCAAAGAAAATGCAGTTGCAGGTTTTGCTCTTGAACCTCTGTGAACAATGAGACATTGGTATTTGTGGCCTTTTGTGGCAATTTGAGATTTATTTTACAGCAGCTCTATGAACTAGCATTGAATGTAGTGGAGCTTCAACTTGATCAGAAATTCAAGGTCAAATGAAGGATAGGCCTAGAGAAAGAAGTGTCACTTCAGAGCCATAAGAGTTAGGTTGATCATTTAGCACATTACTTCTGTCTTGTTTTTCCTTCATCTGCCAAGATGAGAGTATGCAAATCATGATGTTTTCCTGACGGTTGCTAAATGCCAAGATCACTGCTAAGTAGCAGTGGTATAGTTTGAGAATTTGAGATGTTAAAGAAACGTTTGCCCTGCCTCCAAAAACCTGTTGGGTGGAATAATTTGGGAATCAGAGAGGAAACAATTGTCTTGCTTTTGCGGGCACTGTTTTGTGTATCATTGCCCATCTGCTAGGACTCTTTTTCCCATTGCTACTTAGTTGGTCTTAGGAGATTTTAGTTTTTCCATGGTCAGCTTGATTACTAAAATTGGAATCCCATGAAAGTGTGTCTTCTAGAAGATACACAGATAATTATCCCCCTCTCATGCTTATTGCCTGTATCGCTTATTGATGTCATCAGGACTTTTAAGTGCAAATATATATGGAGGAGACATTTTTTTAAGGAAACTCGGGGAAGTCAGTGAAGAATGAAGTACTGTATAAGTTGCAAAATACTGAAATTGTCATTCATGTTTTATTTTTGAATATATATATATATATTTGGTCTGTTTGTTAGGTGAGTTATTTTCTTTTTCCCCATGAAATACTTTGCTTATTTCATCAGTTCTACATATTTAAGCTTGCTAATTTTTTTTTCCTGTAGTTATCAGGCAGTAAGCAAGGCCCATGCAAGATCTTTCCAGTCTAGTAAGAATTTGTTTGAATTTTTCTGTTCTTCTTCAGTTGCATCATCCTTCCTTTGCTTCATAAACCATGTTTCATACTGTATCTTGTTTGTCATACAAGAATCATTAAGCATATCCCAAAAGTGATTGCAGAGTGCTCTGATTTGACCAACCTTTAGAATTCTGTTATATTCTTGCTCCTTTTTCTCTATCTTAAAGATAATAGTCTCTTCTTCCCAAGCTGTATGTAGGTAAAATGAGGCAGAGATGTAACTCCCTGTTCATACTGTACACAGTTAAGCCATAAGACTTTTAAATTCTGCTTCTCTCACCCAAAGCTCATCTTTATTCTGTTTCTTGTTTTCCTACAGTCTGCAAAACTGATGGATGCCTTCTGACGGTATTTCCTGCCTTTTTCTGAGTGACTGGTAGATTGAAAGCTTTTTACTCCATAACAGACACATCACTAAAGCCACTATTTTGTTAGCTTCT